TGTGAATTTGACTACTCTTGGCATCTCATATGAGTAGAATCATACAGTGTTTGTGTTTTTGTGACTGGCTTATCTCACATAGCATAGTGTCATTAGGGTTCATCCATGTTTTATAGCATATGTCAGAATGTCCTTCCTTTTTAAAGCTGAATATATTCAATTATATGGATATATCCCATTTTGCTTATCCATTCCTCACCTTTTGGCTGTTGGAATGCTGCTATGAACATGGGCATACAAGTGTCTCTTCACGACTCTGTTTTCAATTCTTTTGGGTATGTGCCCTGAAGTGGGCTTGCTGGATCATCATTGGACTAACTTTTGAATGTATGAAAAAAACTTCTTCTATTTTTATGCACATTTTCTTCTAGCATAGATAATATTTTCTATTAATAAAAATATATATTTGTATATAGATTTTGTAATATAATTTATATAGAAAATAGGGCATAGATGAAATGAAAGCTTTGCCAGAAATCTATATTCTTTTGTTGAATATGTGTTAATTTTCCTCTGCTCTCTGACTTTACAAATAACTTCTGTATTAAATAATAACATTATTTAATCAGATTTTAATTATAAGATTACAATACAGAGCAAAAGGATAGTTAAGCAATAAAAATACATTTTATATTTGTGGCAACCTAATAACATGTGTGTATTTATTCATTTATTTATTCATTCAACATTTAGTGAGTGCCAGCCATGTGGCAGGCATTGCACAAAGTGCTAGGAGTACTAACCCAATTCCTAGCCACCCAGAGTTCAAAGTCTAATGGGAGAAGCATACTTGAAATTATAATTATTACACAACTGTGATTTGGAAAGCTTTTTAAAACTGCTGTGATGGCCGGGCGAGTGGCTCACGCCTGTAGTCCTAGCTCTCTGGGAGGCCGAGGCGTGCGGATTGCTCGAGTTCAGGAGTTCGAAACCAGCCTGAGCAAGAGTGAGACCCCACCTCTACTATAAATAGAAAGATTAATTGGCCACTAACATATATAGAAAAATTAGCCGGGCATGGTGGCGCATGCCTAAGTCCCAGCTATTTGGGAGGCTGAGGCAGGAGGATCGCTTGAGCCCAGGAGTTTGAGGTTGCTGTGAGCTAGGCTGACGCCACGGCACTCACTCTAGCCTGGGCAACAAATCGAGACTCTGTCTCAAAAAATAAAATAAAATAAAACTGCTGTGAGACCATAGAGGAAGGCATGTGATATAGATTCTTTTAATGGTGTTTCATTTGCACGTGGTACATTGGAATGTAGTCAAATTTGAAAGCTTTGAGGATGCAGCACTGGAAGAAAATGGTTTGGCTCTGACTGGAGTCTTTTTAAAAGTAAAAATTCTCACCAATTTTAAATGATATGTCACATTCTAAAGAAAAGAAAGAAAATTACAATAATGTTATTTAAGAATATTGGGATCAATATATTGATGAGATAAACAATGCTTAAAATACAGGATTGCTAAGAATATATTTTAAACAATATAAAATTGTCCTGTCTAATACAGTAGCCACAAACCACGTGTGGCTATTGAGCACTTGAAATGTGGCTAGTGCGATTGAAGAAATGAAGTTTTAATTTTATTTAATTTTAATTCATTTAAATTTCAATTTATAAACTGATATTCAATTCAGTTATTGAAAAACTTTTATTTTTTTTAATTTAAGAATATTATGGGGGTACAATCGCTAAGGTTACATACACTGCCCTTGTCTCCCCTCCCCCCCTCAAGGCAGAACTTCAAGCATGTCCATCCCCCAGACGGTGTGCATCACACTCACTATGTATGTATATACCCATCCCTCCTTCCCACTCCCCCCTGCCCCACACCCGACAAATGTTTGTTTTTCTTTTTTTCTTAACATTTTGGTTACATTTTATATCTTTTAAGAATGTTTGGAACCACTTGGGTATGTGTGTATATATATTTTTAAAGTATAAGTTTTTGAAATCTAAATACAGATCAAGTACTTCTAATGAAAGTTTAGCATCATTCTTTTGAACATGGTTAAAGCAGAAAAAAAAAGAGAAAGCTTAGCATCCAAATCGAGATGTGCTCTAAGTTTAAAGAACACAACAGATTTTTGAGACTCAGTATGGAAAAATGTAAGTCTAATTATAATAATTTTCATATTGAAGTGATAATATTTTGAATATATTTGGTAAGCTATATTAAAATGAATTTCACCTGCTTTTTACTTTTTAAATATAGTTACTAGGAAATTTAAAATTACCTCTGTCACTGCATATTTCTATTTTTAAGCACTGGTATAAAAAAAGGATAAAGGCAAATAACTAAGTAAATAATGGTTAAAATGGACGATTAGTTAAGAATATATTTTAAATGGAATAAAATGATAAAGGCAAATAACTGTGGAATGATCATAAAAGGAACTAATATTTATGATTGCTGAGTGACTCCATATTTGCTAAGTGCTTAGTTTTTCTTCCAAAGAGCTCTCTGATGGCAGTATTATTGTCTCCAATTTTCAGATGAAAAAGGTAAAGCTCAACAAGCTTAAGTGCTTTCCTGCCAGGTCACACAGTTAACTAACTGGGGTAGCAGATTCATAGGCCACACTTCCATGGGACCTCTGAGCTCCTCCTGCATGTTCAGCAGCTTGCAGGCCTCCCACAGGCTTTCAGCTTTCGTCCACTCTGGAGGCTGAATGTTTTAAGGGTACCCGAGATTGGTTTCTTTGTTTGTTTGGTTGTTTTTTTTTTTTTTTTTGAGACAGAGTCTCACTTTGTTGCCCAGGCTAGAGTGAGTGCCGTGGCATCAGCCTAGCTCACAGCAACCTCAAACTCCTGGGCTCAAGCAATCCTGCTGCCTCAGCCTCCCAAGTAGCTGGGACTACAGGCATGCGCCACCGCCCGGTTAATTTTCTATATATATGTTGTGGCCAATTAATTTCTTTCTATTAATAGTAGAGATGGGTCTCACTCTTGCTCAGGCTGGTTTTGAACTCCTGACCTTGAGCAATCCGCCCGCCTCAGCCTCCCAGAGTGCTAGGATTACAGGCGTGAGCCACTGCACCCGGCCCCAAGATTGTTTTAATCAGGTATGGTAAGGTATGCAGACATGGGAATGACTGTCATGAAGGAAGGTGATTATATTCACAGATGCTAGATGCTGGAGGCATGGCACACCATGCAAGGCCACACAGGGAAGTGCCAGGGTTGGGCAAGAGGCAGAGGGAGTGAGGAAATGGGAGCAAGAGCCTTGATTGCAGTTTCTGTGGGAAGGAAAGAGCGAGGCAGGGTAAGCAAGCTTAGTTTGGCTAGTTTGAATAATTTCAGCCTGTTCTGGAGCATAGGGGCTATTCCCACTTGTATGATACCTGACTCTGGGGTGATTGACTTAGAGGAATAGTGGCCCCAGTGTAAGAGCCTCTAAAGGAGATGGTTGGGGTGTGAGCTCTGGATTGCTAGGTTTGCATGTGAAAGGCGCTCTCCAGTTTTCTGTTCTCTCTAGGAATTAGCCAGCCTTAGGAGGGACAGTCCTTCCACTGTCAACAGGAGCCCAGATGTCAAAGCATCAATTACAGAAGCTAGAGATGTGGTTATATTCTGAGGATCCTGGAACATGCCCTTGAGAACTTAGGGGCCTGTGCTGAAAGCTGGGCCTTCAGTGCTCTGGCCTGCTCCAGAGCCCTTGTGGGCTGGGACCCATTTAGGCCGCGGGGAGGCAGATGGAGCGGGGTGCCTTTCCCTGCAGACTGCAGGCACAGCCATAGACAGCCTGTTCATCTGTTCTGTGTCATATTTAATTTAGTAATGTTTATAACATTCTAAATTGCCAGTTTAAGTGTAATTTCAGACTATGGTTTGTTTTTAGGTAATCACCAAGTGGTTGATTTTAATTCATACTCTATTTCAATTCTGCAGTGAGATGTCCATTCTTTTTAATATTTTCTCATTCATTCTTTGGCAACACAAACATAATAAAGAGCTATAGAAATTGGTGAATAGTCTGCCAGCAATTAAGCATGAGGTAATATTTTCTCCTAAATCACTTGAAATATATTTTATGCTTCAATCTAAAGGGGAGACATTACCAAGGCACTTTGGATTGGGAAGTGTAATTAGGTCAACTGTATTCAAGTTCTCTTTGAACATTGCTTTAGAAGGAGGCTTGCCATTTATGATGCTTGTGTTAAGAGAGCCCCTGACCCTGGGTCACATTGCAGGGGACGAAAGCGATTTCTTTGGTGGGCACTGAGCTTTCATGTTTTGCTGCCATGTTGCCAAGGACTCAGGGACTCAGGAACATATGGCTGTCCCCTCCTCTCTTCCCAATACTGGCTCTTCCTAGGCCCTGTGAACACACTCAGAGCAGCCTTCTTTTCTCTAGCTACCCTCTGCAGAGAGCAGAGAAAAGTTTTACAGAAACTTGTCCTGCAGTAAAGAGCAATGACCCATATCCTTCAGGTTGGACACCTTTGTCCTGCCCCCCAGAGTAATTCTTCAATATTCTGAATCCCCAAGGGGCTGCTCGTTGGAGGTCCATGTATTCTCCCCTCACCCCAACTCTATCCCTCTGTGCCCACCTCTTTCCCTCTCCTCGCCTCCCCATTTCCCTCTCTCCCCTTTTAGTCCAGGATTCTGGCTCCTCCTGATTTGTGTTTCATTTTCAAAGGACAGTTCTGTGTCAGTCTATCTTGAGAAAGGGAAGCCTCCTTCTTTGTGTGCCAGGCACTAACACCTCCCAACAGTGCCAGAGACCACCTGCTGTAAACTCACTAGAATTGAAGGAGAAAATAGTTGTGGCTGTTTGCCCACTGAGGAGCATCAAAAATATACAGTTAATTGCAGAAACAAAGACTCACAGGCTTCTGTCCTAAGCAGTGATGCTTCAGGCAGCTGCCCAGAGGTACCTGAAGCTCCCCTGGGACACTGCTGTCCCCGGATACCCCCTGAGAAGCATCACCTCGTCATCGGATTCCAGAATGGTTTTCACCACTAAATAATGATTCAGTGACCCCTTCTTTTGGCTAGGACACCCTTGTGGAATTTGAGTCGTTTGATCCTTCCTGTCTGATGCCCACCTGCCCGGATTACTGGACCTACTCGGGCTTTCTGACTACCCCGCCCCTCGCCGAGTCCGTCACCTGGATCATTAAGAAGCAGCCAGTAGAGGTTGATCATGATCAGGTAGGTTCTTTCCACTTTCCATCTGAGGAAATCTAGTCTGCCCATTTAAAACAAGGCTGGGCTCCAACTGTGGCGTCAGTTTTAACATCTTGTAATATCTATACATTTTTATTGAAGAGTGCTAATGACTTGTGTCAGTTTAGACTGACACATGAATTTGGGGATGTTTCACATTAACTAGAGAGACAAGTTCAAAACATAGACGAGCATAAGCTGTTTACTTTTATATTAGACAATTACATATTTTTTAAAGTTAATTCAGTTCTTTTTTAATTTTTAATTATTTTGGGTACATAAAAGTTATATACCTTTATAGGGTATTTTGCATATGTTTTATGCCTTGTGTATTTTATATATACATATTAATCTCTATATAAAATCAAGACCCTTTTAAAGGGAAGAATGAAGGCTGGAAATGGATGTGTTCCAAACCCGTTCAAATCCTTAAGGAAGTTTTGCTATAGAATCTCAGGATAAAGACAGAATCTAGCAATGTCTGCCCAGAAACTTTGATGTAAGTCAGCTGTTTGGAACTTGGGATTTATTTTTCCCCTAAAACTAAGTCTAAGTGGTGGTTATTATATCAGCACACAAAATCGTATTTAATTCATAAAGAGACTAACTATAATACTAACTGCTTTTACTTGTTTGTGTTGGATTTTTATAACAACTAAAACTCCCAAACTCTTTTTTTTGAAGCTAGGATAACAGTGATACTAAAACCTATCAAAGATTGGACCACCCCACCCCAAAGAAGTAACAATAGGCCAATATATCTGAAAAATATTTAGCAAAGAAAAGCTAAAGAAAATACTAGAAACAGAATCCAGCTGTACATTAGAAGAAATATATACTTTTTCTAAGGATTTATTTCAGTAATGCAAGGTTGGTTCAGTACTAGGAATGATATCCTTATGGTTAATATATTTCATCCCATCAGTAAATCCAAAGAGAAAAGTCATTTTATTTCCATAGATTCCTAAAACACATCGGACAAAGCTCACCATCCCTTTTTAAAAATGTTTTTAATGGAGGCTGGGTGCAGTGGCTCACACCTGTAATTCTAGCACTCTGGGAGGCCGAAGCAGGAAGATCGTTTGAGCTCAGGAGTTCAAGACCAGCCTGAGCAACAGTGAAACCCTTTCTTTACTAAAAATAGAAAAAAATTAGCTGGACAACTAAAAATATATAGAAAAAATTAGCTGGGCATGGTGGTGCATGCCTGTAGTCCCAGCTACTCGGGAGGCTGAGGCAGGAGGATTGCTTGATCCCAGGAGTTTGAGGTTGCTGTGAGCTAGGCTGACACCACGGCATTCTAGCCTGGACAACAGAGCAAGACTCTGTCTCAAAAAAATTTTTTTTCAATGAAACATAAATGAAGGGAGAATTTCCTAACTTGATAAAGTACATTAATCTCAGCTCAAAAATAACAGCTTGTTTAGTGTGGAAAGAATATCCACTAACTCCATGATTATTAGCATAGCTAATATTAAATTAAATTGAATTAAATTTTGCTAGGAGCCAATAAAGTTAGACCAAAAAATATAACATTAGTGAAACAATAAAAAGTACTGCAAAGATAAGATAATGCAGCAATTAGTGGAATACTGCATTAATTTATAGAAATCAATTTCCTTTGACATATATAACTCACAGAAGACAATGGAAGAGGAAAGTCTACATAATGGAAACTAAAAAACTAAAATACCTTGAAATAAACATAACATGAAATGTTAAGAAAACTGTAAAACATTTCTGAGCAACACAAAGGGCTTGAATTAATCAAAGTCATACCATGTTATTGAATAGGACAGCATCATAAGGACACCTTTGATGTCGATTTCCCTGAAATTATGGTCTTCATAAATTTAATGTTTTTAATAAAAATACCAACAGAATTTTAAGACTAGATATAATATTTCTGCTACTTCCAGAGTTCATATGGAAAGACAAACAAGACTGAATAACTAGAAAAAATTCTAAAAAAGAAAATGAGGAATAATTAGACCTACAACATTATAAAGCCACAATAATTAAATAGTATGACACTGGCACATGAATAAGAAGATCAATCAGGGAAGAAAATAGTAAGTTCAGACATGTAACCAAATACATGAGAATTTGCTTTATGATAAACATAGCATCTCAGCTCATTGTAGGAAAAGATCAATTCAGTAAATGGTATTGTGAGACAGCTGAGCAGGCATTTAGGAGAAAAAGTAGGATCTATCATTCAATCCTTGTGAAAATATATTCTAGGTGGAATAAAACTTTAAAGGCAAAAAATAATGCCATAAAAGTATTAGGATAAGCATAGGAAGATTCTTTCATTCCTCTAAATGGGGAAAGCTTTTCTATCTATAAATTAGAACCCAGCATTCATCAAGAAAACAACTAGAAAATTAGACTACATATGATTTTTTTTAAATCCTGCATGATGAAAATAGCCATAAACAAAAGATAGACAACAGGGAAAACATTTGCAACTCTATTCATTCATTCAGCCACTGTTTGTTGAGCACATACTATATGCCAGCTACTCTTCTAAGTGTTTGGGACACTAGAGTGAACTAAACAGAGAAGAAGCTAATTGCCCTAATATATTAATATAAAGAGTTCCTAGGAATCAGTTTTTAAATGAACAGCAAATGGTATAAACAGACAGTTTACACTCAAAGAAACAATAAGCTCATAACTGTGTGAAAAAAAAATTTAACCTTACTTATAAAAAGGGATGAAACAAGATGAAACTTGTATACTGAAATACCAATTTTCACCTACCAAATTAGCAAACACCCCAAAATTTGATGTCTCCCAGTGCTGGTACAAGTGTGAAGAATGGACAGCCTCATGCATTGCTGGTAGATATAGTGGCACATGAATAAAGATATAAATCAATAGAATAATAGACTAAAGAGAATTTTGTATTTTTAACAAGTACGATATCAAAGGAAGATAAAATGCTAAATTGGTACTATTGTATGTAGTAGCTATCAAAATGCAAATACACATAACCCTTAAAGAGCAATTTATCCTACACATAAACAGCAAGCCTAAACAGTAATACATATACTTGATTATTCTTTGTGTATTCTTAAATTGTTTGTAAACCTAAATAACAGTCACCTCTATGATATTCCTCCCCCCAAATTTGCGTCTCTCATCTAAATCATGACAAAACACAAAACAAAACCAAATTGAGGCTGTCATGCTGGAAACTCAGACTTGTGGGGGGAAGGGGGGGAAAGGGCATTTATTGAAACTTTAAAATCTGTACCCCCATAATATGCCGAAATAAAAAAAAATAAAACCAAATTGAGGAAGAACTTCTACAAAATACCTAATGAGCCCTCTTCAGAAGCATCAAGGTCATTAAAAGCATCAAGGCAGAAAAACTGAGTGGAGGAGACCATGGAGGAGTAGGTCCTGGAACAGAAAAGTATGCTAGCAGAAAAACTGGGGAGATCCAAAAAGTCTGGAGTTTACTGACTGGTATTGACTCAATGTTAATTTCTTAGTTTGATGAACGCATTGTGACTATATAAGATAACATCAGAGGAAGATGGGTGAAGGGTCTTGACCTCAGAACCATTGACGTTCAGGGTGGATCATTCTTTGTTGTGGTGGCTGCCCTGCGCATTGCAGGATGCTGAGCAGCATCCCTGGCCTCTGTCCACTGAGTGTCTGTAGTACCACATCCCCAGGCAGTGACAGCCAAAAATGTCTCCAGGCATTCTCTACTGTCCATTGCAAACTCACCCCAGGTTGAACACCACTGATATACACTACTTCCTGATATCAACTAACCATTGAAATCCTTTACCTATTGGTGCATGAGAAGGAGAAGAAACAGATGTTTCTCTGAGAATGGCTTTTAACTAATCAACATGTTTATTTACCAGTAGAAGGCATATTTAGTGGCAATTCACTTATTCCTGCCTGTAGGTGACCAGGAAAAGGCTCCAATTTGTCAGAAGGTCTTTACCCACAAGCCAGAATAACAACCACTGGGTTATACTGCAAAAAAAGATATGAGAAATTCTGTAGATATTGGAAAGAAAAATACAGTATAAGAAGTACATACCCAATGACATTAGACTGTCCACTCTCATGCCATTATTATCTTAAGACATATCTTAAATATGAAAAGTCACTTCTATCATTATGAGAATGGTCTTAAGAAAATTATACCATAGGAATATCTGTTTTCAAAATCATACACCTGGGGACCATTCCTTAAATAAGAAATTGGCAAAAAAAAAAAAAAAAAAGCAAACGAATTTATCAGTGAGTAGAGTGTTAGGGTTCTCATTACTCTGCATCCACTGGCTGATACTGCCCTTCCCCCTGCATCCCCAAAACACTTGGCCCCCTCAAACCTCAGAAATCTTGTGGTGCTTCCTCATTAAGCTCTATTTAGTGTTTTTGTTATTCAACCATCTGCCTCAATCTGGATGTAATCTATTGCCCGATGTTATATTTTTTTGCCCACTTCTTTGTCTCCCCTCATTCCGGCATTCCAGCAGCCCAATGCCTGCCTTCTACACATGCTTTTGAGGGAAATGTTCTCAAGAAAAGATAGAGTTTCACACCACCTTGAACAGACCTCCATCCTTAAGCACTATAATCAATTACTCAGCAGCTTTTGTAAACTTTGTTTTGAAATTAGATCTTTTCAGCTACTAGTGGAAAATGTGCCTTACATTACTACAAGATTACCAATAGAAATGAAAGAACAAAAATGGCATTAGTGTTCAGAGAGAAGAGGATGTATACATGGATGCATGGAGGCTAGAAATTATAGGAGAGTTCACACAAAATCAGCATTAGCAGTGCTAAAACATAAATCCTGGACAGCTTTGGCCATTTTCTTAAGAGATAAATTGCAAAAAGTGACATTAACATCCATCCTAGAAGAATGAAACACATCACCTTTCCTATGTTTTTCCTTAAAAGAGCATCCAAGTGTATTATAAGTTCATTTTCACAAAGATGAAAGA